CCGCGATGACAGCCGTTCGCGAACAGTTCACGAATTATCATGTAATTACACTACTTTTACACTCGATCGATCATGATCGGCGCAAACTAACGGATTACTACTTGTAAATATTACCAATCCGTAAAAAATAAAACTATGGTGCCTCAAGAGTTTTTGTTACTACGAACATTACCCCCTCTTTTTTTATGAAAATTGTCGTGTAACCGATACTCATGTGTATTATTCGGGTCTGCCAGCAAATCTGTTCAAAATGATTATTGGACAAAAATAAAGTTAGTGGGTGCATTCAGTACTACAACCGCTCACTGAGCGCTCAGTGAGTGCTTGCATCTTATTGGCATATTCCTTTAGAACTAAAAATATAGACCAAACAGATAGAAGAGCTCACTGAGCACTCAGTGAGCGGTCGTGGTACTGAATGCACCCATAGAATGAGTAGGAGCTACGGTAGGATCATGTTGGAGCATATTGGATCTTGCGACGCGACAAACCTCAAGTTGACAAAGCGGCTAGCCCATGACTACGTTGACACGGATCAATTTACGCCGAAGTTATAACATCGATGTTAGGAAACTGGCTAATCGCAGTCATGCCATTCTTCAGAGGAATAACTATGATTGGCCAATTTCATCGATGTTATAATTTCGGTATAAGGGTGCTGTCACATAGGGTGCATTCAGTACTACAACCGCTCACTGAGCGCTCAGTGAGCTCTTGCATCTGATTGGCATATTCCGTTAGAACTAAAAATATAGACCAAACAGATACAAGAGCTCACTAAGCGCTCAGTGAGCAGTTATGGTACTGAATGCACCCATACAGTCCGCAATCCGTAATCCGCACCGGATGTCCGCAAAAGCATCTAGGGATTGCGTACGGCAGATATTTCTCACGTAACCCGCAACTACGTGAAAAGAGAGTTCTAGTGCAGTCTAGTGCACGTCAGAAAACAGACCATTTGTTGTATTTGTACTAATAACAAATATCAAAGATTTATTATGCACTTATAATTCCAAAATTGTTGTTAAACAAATTAATCACTATTTATAAATTAAAGGTAGGTTATGGTACGTTTATTTTTGTTTAACATCGGAGTGCAATTGCGTTGCGTCCTTACATGCTCCTTGTGTCCTATGGAGCCGCAAAATGCGGACGTGTAAATATAATATTTTTTATTTAGAAGAAGTTATATACTGTTAATTTTTATTTTATTTTATAAGAAAATTACAGAATATATTTTAATTATAACAAAAGTTTTAATTAAATTGTCAAATTTAGTCAAATAAATAAAATTAAGAAAAGCATTACTGGCAATAACTAGTAATTTTTACGGAAATTTCATGGGATTACGGAAACTTCATGGGACACAAGGAGGTAAAACACACGTAACGTTACGGACGCAATACCTAATAACTTTTGCAGACATCCGGTGCGGATTACGGATTACGGGCTGTATGTGACGGTATCCTAAAGCTGCGGTCCAATTGACGCTACAAACGCTTCGAAGCATTCTTTGATTAGTCAATTCGTAAAATTCTTTGTTCTGATTGGTCGCTCAAACGCTTCAAAGCGTTTGTAGCGTGAAGTGGACCGCAGCCTAAATCGAACCATGCAAGGCTGCGTTGGGAAATATCACCCGGGTGCCCCCGTGTATCATCTTATCCTTATTTAACATTGGGTGAACAACAAGGATAAAACGATGCATTGGGGCACTCAGTTGATGTTTTCGAACGCAGCCTAAACGTAGTCCATGACCCCTTTTACACCGAGCACTCTTGATACGCGTATTAACTAGGAACTTTCTATTAAATTATTTTAATTTCAGCAATTTTTAAAGAATAATGTACTAAATTGATAGAATATGCATCAAAATAATTAATTAAATACATATATCATGCATATGTTTACATGTTTCGCCGAAATTAAAATAATTCAATAGAAAGTTACTAGTTAGGCCCGTTTCTACCAACGTAGATTGATTTTAATCTCAGTTCAACTTACTCTTTATCTTTTTCTAATTCTCAGAATTGGAAAAAGATGAAGAGTTAGTTAAACCGAGATTAAAATTAAACTATATTGGTAGAAAGGGACCTTAGTATCCGTATTAAGTGCACGATGTAAACTAGGTACATGATGTAGGGTGTGTTCCGTTTTTACTGGCAGTGCAGTAAACGTGACGTCATCACAGTACACTGCGACAACTGTTCCACAATTACTGTATTACTGCCAGCATAGCTGTAACAGCGTATATCGGAACAAATTTCAAGTGCTACCAACATGGCGATACACGCAGTAAATAAACAGGTTAAGTTACAAATTTGCATGATTGCAATAGAAATATTGAACAAAAGCAGTGATACCTCATCTGAGGAAGATGAGTGTGTGTGTTATTAGAATTAATCAATTCAATATATGTAATGTTATATTCAGGATCTAATATTTTTATTTTTTTTCAGTAGTACCAGGTATTATCATGAAACGTGTCGGAATGAGCGCTCAGTGAGCGGTTGCAGAGTGAACTCTTGCATCTTATTGGCATATTCCGTTGGAACTAAAAATATAGACCAAACAGATATAAGAGCTCACTGAGCGTTCAGTGAGCGGTCGTGGTACTGAATGCACCCATAGTTTCAACCTATCAGAAACTGTGTGTGGTGAATTTAGCATTAGAGGTTATTTGTAGCTGCAAGTTGGTAGGACTGTTTTGACGGTATCGATGAGTCGAGGGCATTTTGTCGATTACTCGGGACTTTGTGGTTAGGTATAAGAATTAATGTGCGTCCTGATTTTTGTCTGTTATAGCGTTTCAATAAAGTGTGATTTACCAATCGTATCAATTTAACAGACAAAATCATCAAATCACTGAATAATGGAAAAGTACTTGAAGCCTGAGAGATTTAACGTGGAACCAACCTCTATTTCTGCGGACAAGCAATGGACACATTGGAAACGGACGTTTCTCAAACTTTTTGAACAACTTTAGAGATGCAACAAGGGAAAACAAGTTACAACTACTAACAAACTACTTGGCCCCGAAAGTATATCAGTATATTAGCGAATCTGGAACATTTGAGAATGCCATCGATACTTTAGAATCATTGTATGTAAAACCTAGAAATGAGATCTATGCTAGGCATTGTTTAGCCACGAGACGGCAACTCGCTGGTGAATCCGTAAACCAGTATCTACAATCTTTAAGACAATTAAGTAAGGATTGCAATTTAAAAAATGTTACTGCTGAGCAGAATAAGAACGAGTATATTAGAGATGCATTTATTAGCGGCTTGAGTTGCCCACACATTCGACAGAGGTTACTTGAAAACACAATACTCACTCTAGATGCTGCTTATGACCAAGCTCGAGCCTTAGAAATGGCTGAGCAACACTCTGCATCGTATTCTGGCCTATCCGGTACAACTGCTGCCTCGACCAAGGAAACTGGTGATCAGGACCCGAAGGCTCTCGAGGCAACTACGGCTGGTGCATTGAAAAGCGGAAAGTGCTATTTCTGTGGGAGAGAAAATCATCCCAGAACGCAGTGTCCAGCGAGAAACGTGGAATGCAGGTCATGTGGAAAAAAAGGGCACTATCAACGTGTATGTAAGTCACTGCCTCCTAACAGGGCTATACCTAATACGACAGCGTCTACTGGCACTCTAGCGTCCCTTACAGCAGAACCTAGCTGTTTTCAAAAATCTATAGTGGACATTAAGGTAAACGGAACAAAGTTAAACGCTCTGATAGACACGGGAAGCTCTCTGAGTTTCATCAATTATTCTCTCATAGGAAGATGTAGAATAGACCTGCTACCATACCTTGGCAAGATCACGATGGCAAATTCCTCCTTATCGTCAGAGATAGTAGGACGATGTATAACAGATGTGGAAATAGGAGGAAATATCTACAAAGATGTTACGGTATTAGTAATGAAAGATCTCTGTTCGGACGTTATAATTGGCCATCTTACAACGTCACTCTTCGGTAAACATAGTTTTCAAGGGTCCGTTACCCTCTCTCAAAATCTGTAGTTTGGCGATTGCCAAAGTACGCCCGATTTCGCTCTTCGCCAATTTAGATGTAAATTGTAAACCTATAGCCACTAAATCTAGAAGACACTCTGAAGAAAATAATAAGTTTATTAACCTTGAGATCAAAAGACTGTTGCGTGAAGGTGTAATAGAGCCTAGTAACTCTCCATGGCGCCCACAAGTTTTAGTCGTGAGAGAAGAAAATCATAAAGAAAGGATGGTTGTTGACTACTCACAGACGATAAATAAGTTCACAATGTTGGATGCGTATCCTCTCCCGAGGATTGAAGAAATAATCGCTAAGGTCTCGGCGAATGAGGTCTTCAGCACTATAGATCTCGAGAGTGCCTATCCTCAAGAGTGCCGATCTTAGATTTCGAAAGAAAATACACCGCCTTCGAAGCAGGTGGAAAACTATCAATTTCTACGTGTTCCGTTCGGAGTGACAAACGGAGTAGCGTGCTTCCAAAGAGTGATAGACCAAATCGTGCAAGACGAAGGACTAGAGGGTACCTTCCCTTATCTGGATAACGTCACGATATGTGGAAAAACCCAACAAGAACATGATCGTAACCTTGAAAAATTTTTGGCGGCAGCTCAAAAGTATAATTTAACATTGAACAAAAGGAAATATAATTTTTCTGCCAGATCCGTCACCTTACTTGGGTATGTAATCTCCAATAAAACGATTAAACTTGATCCCGATCGCCTCCAGCCTTTGCTCAGTCTACCGATTCCTCATGATACTACTTCCCTACGGCGAGTGTTAGGCATGTTCTCACACTATTGCAAGTGGATACCGAGATTTTCAGAGAAAGTGCGTCCACTACTACTCGAGAACCAATTTCCGTTATCGAATGAAGCAATATCAGCGTTTGAGAGTCTGAAGAATGATATAGCCAAAGCAACGATGGCCGCCGTACAAGACGACGTACCTTTTCGAGTAGAGACTGACGCATCTGATTTTGCAATAGCAGCTACACTAAGTCAAGCTGGCAGACCCGTCGCGTTTTTTTCTAGAACCCTTAACGGAACTACAACACTCATCCATAGAAAAGGAGGCTTATGCGATTGTGGAATCCTTACGCTACTGGAGGCATTACTTAATCGGCCGTTATTTTGAAGTTGTTACAGACCAACGCTCAGTCTCTTTTATGTTTAACCAACAACATTCAAGTAAGGTTAAGAACGAGAAAATTGTAAGATGGCGTTTGGAACTCTCCTCTTTTAAGTTCGATATAATTTATCGCCCGGGAAGTGAGAACGTGTCAGCGGATACTTTTTCTAGAATAAGTGCCTCCATGACCTCAGGTATGAATCTTAATGCTTTACATATCGCGCTCTGTCACCCCGGCGTATCTCGATTATGCCACTGGATTCGTATTAAGAATTTACCATTCTCTGTTGAAGACGTAAAGAGAGTTACAAAAGCTTGTCAGGTCTGCGCAGAACTGAAACCACGTTTTTATAAAACCGAAGGGAAGCTGATAAAGGCTACCTCACCATTTGAGAGACTGAACTTGGATTTCAAAGGCCCTTTACCGACGAAAACTAGGAACCAGTATATTCTAACCGTGGTGGATGAATTTTCAAGATTTCCGTTCGCTATACCATGTAAGGACATCAGTTCAACTACAGTGATACAACATTTGGCTCATCTCTTTTCAATTTTCGGAACTCCTGCATATATACATTCGGATAGAGGCGCCTTGTTCATGTCACAAGAGTTAAAAATGTTCCTGACTTCTCAAGGCGTAGCGACCAGCCGAACGACCCCCTATAACCCAAGAGGAAACGGTCAAGTAGAAAGATATAATGGAATCATATGGAAGACTGTCATGCTAGCATTACGATCCGGCAATACTAAAATAGAACATTGGGAAGAAGTACTGGATACTGCACTACATTCCATCCGATCGCTTCTCTGCACAGCAACAAATTCCACACCGCACGAGAGAATGTTCAATCACCCTAGGAGATCGTTCAATGGCAACTTGATGCCAACCTGGTTGACCAGATCTGGACCAGTTCTAATGAAGAAACATGTTCGCGCAAGCAAACATGATCCATTAGTGGAGGAGGTCGAATTGATAGAAGCGAACCCGGAATATGCGTACGTCAGGCTACAAAACGATCGGGAGACTACAATCTCCACTCGGCATCTTGCTCCTCGAGGAGAAATCTTGACTAAGGATGAAGACAGTGAAATTACTCCCCCTGAACCTCAATCATCGGAACTTCGAGAGAATTTGGTAGAACCGGGCATCACCGATCAACTGCAGTCATCGGAGGATCAAGAAAAGACTCAACGCCCTGCACGTTCAAGACGCCCTCCTTCTTATCTGTCTGATTATGAAACTGGATTCTAAAAGAAAAAGGAGGGAATGAATGTGGTGAATTTAGAGGTTATTTGTAGCTGCAAGTTGGTAGGACTGTTTTGACGGTATCGATGAGTCGAAGGCATTTTGTCGATTACTCGGGACTTTGTGGTTAGGTATAAGAATTAATGTGTGTCCTGATTTTTGTCTGTTATAGCGTTTCAATAAAGAGTGATTTACCAACCGTATCACTGTGTATTCCGGTGTATCCGATTTCTGATAGATTGAAATCGTGTTATTCCTACCGCTGTAGCTATTTCCTCGCATTATGTCTTGGGTTTAACTTGATATCAGTTATTGATATATTTTGTTTAAGTTTCATTGTATATAAAAATTAAAAAATGTACCACTTGGATTTACCTTTTAATTAGGCAGAATTTAACTTGATAAAGATAGTACTACTTGGGTTATACTTTTTATTAATTTGGTAGAATTTATCTTGATAAAGATTTTAATTAACATTAAAATTACAATCACAATTACAAGTATAATTAAGTTTTAATCTATTCTTAAATCTACGCATCGCTTTTATAACGTATGGCTTAAAAATCTAAAATTATCTTATTCTTAATGATATATGCTTTTATTGTATAATACAGGGTGTTTCCAAATTAAATGGCAAAACTTCGGGAGCGTATAGAGGAGTAAAAAACTAAGAAAAAAAGTCCTATAGACATATGCTCGTTTTTGCTCCGTTTCAGAGAAATCGAAAAAAAATGTTTACATTTCTTGCCATATCTAGCACCGACATATTTGATTACATTTTCCACTTTCTGTTATGAATTTGTCAGTCGCTCTTTGAAAGCCTTTAACAGTAGATGAATTTTGTCTTTTGCAATATGCCGCGTACGTATTCTAATAGTGAATATGCTGATATGGTTTTTGTATACGGTTTCTGCAACGGTAATGCTTTAAAGGCGGTGCGAGAATATGCACGACGATTTCCAAACAGAAGAGTGCCAAACCGAAGAGTGTTTATGTTGACATTTAATAGATTGCGAGAGACTGGAACATTTTCAATTCGACAAGAAAACAACCGATTTCAAGCAGCGTTACGAAGAGATTTGCAGGCAGGGAATCGTATTTTACAACATTTTGACAATCATCCTGAGACCAGCGTTCGGAATGCGTCGGCTGTATTGGGAGTGTCACCACAAACAATTTGGCGAACTGTAAAAGGAGATAATCGCTATCCCTACCACATTCAAAAAGTGCAAAATTTATTACCTCAAGATCATTGGAACAGATTGAACTTTTGTAACTGGTACCTTCAGACATGCCACAATGATATTTTATTTCCATCTAAAATAATGTGGTCAGATGAGGCAACATTTACCAGAGGTGGAATAATTAATCAAAGGAATTATCATATATGGGCTCATCAAAATCCCAGGTCTGTTAGAGAATACAAATTTCAGCAAGAGTTTTCTGTTAATGTCTGGCTTGGAATTTGGAACGACGTTTTAGTGGGACCGTTTTTTTTACCTGCAAGATTAAATGGGGACCGTTTTCTAAATTTCTTGGAGAATGAATTTTCTGACTATTTAGAAAACATCCCATTACAACAACGTACTGAAATGTGGTTTCAATTAGATGGATGCCCTGCTCATTACAGCAGAGTCGCTAGAACCTGGTTAGATAGAAAATTCCCACAACGATGGATTGGACGTGGAGGAGCAGTACATTGGGCAACTCGTTCGCCCGACTTAACGCCATTAGATTTCTATGCATGGGGTACTCTGAAGCAAGAAGTTTATTCTTCGCCTATTCAATCAGAGCAACATTTGAGAAATCGTATCGTAGCTGCAGCGAACAGAATATCGCAAGAACAGTGCCTGGCTGCTACAAGAGCCGTGTTTGACAGATGCAATGCTTGTATTGCTGCAAGAGGTGCACATTTCGAACAAAATCTTCATTAAAAAGTTTATAAATAAAATAATTAAAATAATAAATTAAATATATTTTTTTCTTTTTTCGTGATTTCCTGCGAAACAAAGCAAAAAGGAGCATATGTCTATAGGACTTTTTTTCTTAGTTTTTTACTCCTCTACACGCTCCCGAAGTTTTGCCATTTAATTTGGAAACACCCTGTATATAACGCACGCCGTATAAATACTTATTCTATACTAAATCTAAGCCGCATACCTGTCTGAATTATTTGCTTACACACGCACGCACGCACGCACTGTATTCTGTTATTAGTCCACCTCATTCTCTTTCTTAAATTTCTTCTCAGGTAGCAAACACACGTCATTTTGACGTCAAATTCTGGTCATGTTGGTACGAATGACGTCAAGTGACCAAAAATTGACCAACCGATGTTATGACGTCATATTTTGGTCTTCCTTAATTCTCCATTTGGAAACGTCCTAACATGATGTCATTTTGATGTCGTCGCGATAACACATATAATTTGCGAAATTAGAGAGAGAGAGGACGTCATTAAGACGTTATTATTAAGCGTCAACAGTGATTATTAGAGTGAACAGACATATATATATATATGTATATATAAATACTCAAAGTAGTAATAAATTTGACGTTATTTGTCGCTATTTTAACATCTGAATTACATCAAATTAATTGTTGTTGTTGGAAACGTCCTAACATGACGTTATAATGACGTTAATAATTTTGTGACATTAGAATGTCATTATGACGTCATTAAGACGTCATTTAGTGACGTCAGCCATGGTCAGTAAATGACCAAAATTTGACGTTAAAATGACGTGTATTTGCTACCTGGGTTCGTTATTCGTTTTCTTTATTCAGTATTATATATATTTAAAAATAGTAAAGATAGTACCACTTGGATTTTTTAGTGATTTAGATTTTACTGTAAACTAGTTTTATTGGATGAGCACATGCTCTTAGCGCTTTTTTAGAAAAGTAAGTTTGTATATAATTTTAAAAAATCCCACCGCCTCCTCCATCGTTTTATAATTGTAATATAAGAATGACAATCCAGGTAGCAAAGTTTGTCATTTTGACGTCATATTTTGGGCCTTTACTGACCATTACTGACGTGTTAATGAAGTCAAATTGACGTTCGAATGTCACAGACGATTGACGTCATCGGTGAGCCGTTATTTTGACGTTATATCTTGGTCCTTTACTGACCATTATACTATCCAACTGGCGACTTATGACATCAATATGACGTCACGGAATGACGTTATGAAAATGACGTCAGTATGCCGTCACGAAATGATCATACTGACGTCATGAAATGACATCGAATAAAACCTATGATCACTTTTTGGTCACTTGACATCATTTGTACAAACATGACTTAAATTTGATGTCAAAATGACAAACTTTGCTACCTGGGAAGGTGTATAAATAAATAATTAACGTGGTAGAATTTAACTTGGCGCCTGTAAGCCTATTCTGTAACTTTCTAACGATAATGTCGTTATCGTTATGAAGCGACAATTTTCGGTTGCGCTAACGATGGTATAACGAAAAAACTATTCTGTAACTCAGGCTAGCGACGCGATATCGGTACAAGATATGATTCCGACGTCGTTATCGAAAGGACTATATTCGAATTGATATAACTTCATCGCTGTAGTATTGAACCAATCAAATCTCTTCCTTCATACACATTTCTCGATAAGTTTAGGAAAGTTAAAAGGTCTTCGATGGATCCATGATGATTAGAGGTCAAAGGTAGTAAGTTTGATTTGAAATTGATCCGTTGATTGTTACTGATTGATATTATCTGTGATTCACGCAGTCGTCTCGTGTTAGATACATAATTAAAATATATAAATACGATGTCACAGTAAGTACATATAAAATAATTTATAAATAATACAAAAAGATAATATAAAATGACAAGGCACTATGAATAAATCAATCACAATATAAGAAAGAAGCATAACTGGTTATTGTTGGGATCAATGTTTATAAAATTCTTATATAAAATAATAACAAAATACACAAATTGACACGCCATCGAAACGTAAGGAACAAAATTTAATCATAACGCTAATTATTAGATGCTACTTTCAATGTTATGTTTAATATATAATTTAACTATAATTTTAAATATTGAGGATGATCTAATTTAAAGGACGAAATGTTTATTTTGTTATTATTTTATATGATAAAAATTTTATGAAAATTGATTACAACAATAAGTAGCGTTGGTTTTTTCTTATATTGAAAAAGAAAATAGCTATGTAAAATCAATTTTTAATAATTGATGGGCAAAATGTTATTAATTAATATTTTAATGTATATGCCTTTTATGCATATATGTATATGTATATACACAAATTAATGTTTTCTCAGAAAAAAGGAAAGAATTCGCCAAGGAAGGGCCACCATGCAACAAATTGAGGCCCTAGTAAGTTATATAGAACAACATCCAGAAGTTGCTTCAGGAAAATTTACATCTATGAATGCGCATGATGATTTAGCAAAGAAGCCAAATGCTACTAATACTTGTATCTCTGGAGATAAGCCAGTTGTACGCTGTTTTGTGGCCTCAGAACATTAACAATATCTGTAACTATTTCCTTATTCACTCTAAATTGCGCGATGAATTCATTGTTAGGGAGCTCAAATGGATTTTGAGTATCGCGCAATAATCTTCTCTCTAATCGTCTTTCTAGCATTCTTACCCTTTCTTGAAGAAAAAGTATATTTATTGCTAAATATCCGTCAGCCATTTTACACTAAAAAGAAGAAATAAAGAAATCATAATAAAAGTTTAATGTGAAAAACATTTCATTTACTCTACACATATAAAATTTATAAATAGAATGTAACCTAAATTGATTTATATATAATATATATATTTTTTTTCAGATATTTTATAATTACCTTCAGATATTATATATTATTTTCAGATATTATATACATTACTTATAATATTTGATAATTATTCAGATCAGCAGTTTCACCTCCAATATTAATTATAGGCGTTCCGTATTACTTACAGCCACTCGGACCGTTTAAGCAGGAGCGTTGCTATAGGTTAT